TCTCTCTCTCTCTCTCTCTCTCTCTCTCTCTCTCTCTCTCTCTCTCTCTCTCTCTCTCTCTCTCTCTCTCTCTCTTCTCTCGGTATCTTCCTTTTCTTCGAATTTCTTCCTCCACCGCGTTCATTCCCGTTCACCCGCGCGTAACCCGCGTCGCAGCCTCCGCCGGAGAGGGTATTGGACCTTCGCCGTCTCCGCGGTGTAGGCAGGTTTATTTTTATTCCATACGATTCATTCGATTGAACATGACTTGTGGTTACAGCCCGGGCGATATATTTCCGATATTACGGGACGACATTCCAACTCCCGTGGTCCCGCGAGTCTCTTGTATTCTTTGCCCATATTGCTCGTTCGCCCCCGCGCGCCGCTGCCTGCCGACCGGCGGGTAAAATACGTACGATCCTCTCTAGAATAATAGTGGCTTCCGGGGAATTCATGGATGTGCCCGCCCGCTTTCTCGCGGCGCAGGCGAGGGAGTGAGCGCGCGGTCGTTGCAGCTGGTTCGATTTCGGAAATTAGCCCCCGGTACTTCCTGCGGCTCGGTAGGAAATCCTTTGTCGTCCGGCCGAAGACGGATGCTGCCGCATGGTGATCCGTTAACCCGCATACGGAGATGCACTTGGGTGCAGCAGGAAATCCTTGTAACTCGTTTTAATTGCGGCCGTAAGAGCCGGAGCAAATCAATTTTCGTGAGAGTGAATTAGCTTCTCTCAGAATTAAGTGTAACGGGTAAAAAATTGATGTAAAAAAATTTGCCTCGTTTGAGTATTATTCGTTAGTTTATCTCGCGCAACGAAAGTACATTAGGATTAGCATCGTATGGGTGTTAACGTAATGAATTCAGTGCGCGGCCATTTGAAAGTGGCCGACTTAAGTCCAGCAGCAGCTGCGAGGGCCAATTTAAAGAAGTTGGAGTCTCGTTTAATGTTTGTCACTGCACAAAGCAGTTTTTGTACGGCGCGGCGACACGATGCCATTATTGCGGACGCGTTCGTTGCAAAATGCGGGCCGTAATAATTGTACGCGGCGCAACGTTAATTCGTTTCCCTCCTCGCGCGAATAATTTTCTACGTAAATACGTGCATGCATAATGGAACGCCCCCCCTACTCTCGCCGTGGCCTCCTAATTAACACGTTACACTGTCCTAACGCGTCGCTTCGCCCGAAATCGATACAGCGCGGCATTAATTATTGCTTTACGATGGCCCTTGATTAAATCACGATATCACTGGTTATGTCGACTTGGATGTCGTAACCAGTAGTACCCACCGGATAAACACTTTGTCGCCTGTTCGGGGAAAATTCAGTTTGTCGCCCGCGCATTAACTCCATTTTGTAATACTATCGCTATCGAGATCGTACGGCTAACGATACCGTTGTAATTACGCATGCCACAGCATAACTAGGTGCTTAGTAACGATCTCAATAGTGTTAATACCTTTTATTGGTTTCCCTACAAAATGTTTTTCGCGCGCGTCCCATTTACCTTTAATTTAAATGAGGAGTTTGTCCGAATAACACAAGCACAAAATTTATTAGATGTTTATTTAGGGAGAATTGGAAGAATTGGAAAAACGGGAAAACAGGAATGCGAAATTCAACAACTTCTATGTTATAGAAAAGTAATAATGTGACACCATTACTGTTTAAATTAAAAATTGTTTTCGCCGTGAACAAATGCAAAATTTGTAATTAATAATTATAATGGATAATTTTATTAAGATTTTTATGTTAATATATATCATAATACATTTTAATAAAGATAATTTATTTATGTCATTGAAAAAGCAATTTTATTTATCTGTATTCACGAAATATAAATTAAATCAATTAAATTTATAAATATTATTAAATCTGGGAAAGTTATCTAATTTTAGTTAATATCTATTCTATCTATAACACGTAATAATTAATTTTCGAAAATCTAGGAATACTTTGATGATGGTCGTTCGACTGAAAACTCGTTAATTTGTTCCGCGCCTAGCACTCGCGTCGTAAAGGTTACTAATTAGGCAATGCTATGACAGTGCTAATAAACGGATGACACGGTTGACACTAACGCAATATATCGGTATTATGAGGGAACGACTAGATAACTAACGGCATACCTGAATTATCCATTAATGAATAGCGATGTTGCGGATAACCCTGATTCATTCGATTATTTGCGAGATTGATACTAGGTCGTGGCATTGCTACTCAAATTGGGAATTTTGGAAAGCTTGTGTTATTTTTCACATTGAAATAGCATAACTAAAACTCTCTTCAATTTAATCCGCGAATATTAATTACCGTCATTAAAAGATGTCAGGAGTGATTGCGACTAGTTAAATTGCAATAGTTATCAACATGAAAGTTTAATTGTGCAAGCGTATATTTATAAAAGATCGTCTATATTAATTAATATCTATCTCATCAATAAATCAATTGTACAAATTTATTTAGCGAACTAAGTATAATTTATGTAAAAATGAATTATACTCGTACTTATATTCGCTGTTTGACATAGAAAAAGTCAGATCGTTCCTATTTCATTTTTCAAAAATAATTTTATGAGGATCTTGCACAGAAAACTTCTTGAAACTAATTGCGATTTCTTCTAAAAAATTATGGATTGAGAAATTTATGAGGATTCTGCATAGACAATTTCTAGGACATTTATTATGTAACTATTTGCGATTCCAATTGAAACCTTGTGAGTCAAAATCTCACGATTCTGATTGGAATCGCAAATAATTACATAATAAGTGCTTTGATGAAAAAAAAACATGTTTTTAGAAAATAATTTGAAAATAAAAAGATGAAATTGATAGATCCCCGAATAATAAGAAGAATAAAAATAACGCACATATGAGTATCCATATTAATTAATTTTATTATTTTAAATCGTCAAGGAAGCTTCTTTGTATTTCAATTTCTTGCCTTGATTCTTTCATACATCTTAATTCGTGCAAAATAATTTGCAAAACAAAAGTGAAATATTTGCAAACATTAAAAACATTAAAAGTTTTATCCTGGTAAATACGTCTCTGATATTCCGATATTGTAATATTCGACTAAATCTTTTTTATTTTCTCTACTGTGTCAAATATAATTTTGTTCATTCTGTTTGTTCGAAAATGGGAATGTAAAATAATCAAAATATAAATTTTCATTTCCGCGTACGATTTTCCACTCTTGAACAATCACACTCTAAAATTTTGATCGAATGAATGGTTGTAAAACATATCGGTAAAATCGGTCGATTTAAATTGCAAAAAGATAATTCTTGATTTTGATATACACGAAATCAAGCGAGAGGTTAAAATAAATAAATAAATAAATAGAGATCGATGAATAATTATTGTGCGTGATAATCGAGAAAACATTCGCTTCTGCCAGCAGAAATTCTATTATGTATTAAATATATAATATTCCATTATTTATATAATATTCCATTATTTGTGTTTTAAATCTGTCCTTTAATAATTTATCCCATTCCATTGCAGAACAAGGACAAAACACGAGTAAGAAGAAAACAACGTTTTCGAGGTTGCTACGAGGATTGAAGACACATAGAAAAGAAAAACAAGGCCAACAAGCGCAAGGCTCTCCAAGACACGGTCGTGCAAGAATGGGCGTTCCTCAAAGAGTAAGTAATTGGCACTCACAATATAATAATAAAAATTATATCTAAAAATATAATGATAGTATTTTATTAAACCGATATCATTGAATTTAGAACATGAATTATCATAAATCTTTTATTATAAAAATTATAAAATATCACATTCACGAGAATGATACATTTTATGTATATAACTTTTGAAATCGTTCGCAGTCTTTAATTCGTTTTATTAATGCATTTGTCATATCAGATGTACGGCAAACGAGATAAAATTGCTCGCCCTCATTACGCTTGGTTAGTCATCTTACGGCTATCGTCTCGAAAGTTTTGTTGCGCAAAGATAGCTTTTGAAACGGTTGAAACGGCACATTTAATCCCGTCTCGCGGATGCTCGTATGCTCGTCCGCGTAAATCAATGTCACGTAATTGCGTGACTGCGTGCGACATTATCGTATGCGTGAAGCTCGCGCGTGCTTCTGAACGAGAATACGCGCAAGGTAATTTCCATCGCCATCGTTGCTGCCATCGTTGCTCGCGTTTTCATTAAGCACGTCCAGCACGACAGCGAACTGCTGCACGAATGACGGAACTCGGAAGAGTTTTCGTCCAGTTTAGTATGCACGGCTGTTTTTTGGTACGTTGAATAGCACGCCTCTCGCCACTGCGAAGAGTCATCGTCTGACGCGATATCACTCGTTTTTCACGCGAATTGCGCCAGACTGCGCCATCCGATGGCCAAATACGAGCTTACCTTTAATGTGCGCGTTAATGGGAATTTGTTTTTTCGTTATTAAGCTGTCCCGTGAACTACTGCGCACCGTACACACAAGATAAAATAACTTTTATCTGTGACCATCAACAGCTCTCAATTATTCAATATAATATTTAATACAAAGATTTTAAAGTTATGTTTCTATACATGAAAGAATATAAAAATTAAGTTTTTAGATTTTAAGTTTTTGAATATTTTTTAGAATTTCTAAAAACTTGTTCCCGTCTTCAATACCATACTTACCGAAAGAAAAAAATTTCAAATGTAAAAAGTAGTTGTATTTCCAGAATTTGTTTTAACTTTTTTTATTGTAAAATATAATAAATAAAAGAATTATAACCGATCTGTTGATTTATTGATAACGTAAAATTATATCTATTATTTTAATCTGACTTTATATAGATTAACTGATTACATTTAAAAATCTATTAATAACTTAAATCATTGATACATAAAATTGGAATGCATGGACTCGCGATTGTATCCTCATAAAAACGTAGATTAATATTGGAATCATAATATACATACTCGAAAGATACATTATAGATATAAATTATATTTTATTAAATACGAGACCAATACACCATTCGAAACAAATTCGTGGAATATATTGTTAAATTTGTTCAACGTATCTGCTGACTCATATACATCGCAACCTTTTTATTTCCATGTGTTAATTTATAATTAAATTTAACGAGCATTATATTTTATTTTCATTTATCAACTAATATATCTATTCAGAATCTCCGCATTAATCTGAACAATGAAGATAGTGATAGTTATAATTATAATCCGTTTATTTTCGTGATGCGCTTTTACTCGACAAAACGTTTCCATCCGTGTATTCCGTGAAAATGTATCCAATTAAAAAAAAGCTACTGTTAACCATTTTGCGATGAATGATGCACATGCAGTGCGCGTGATACGTATAATAATTATCGATTTACCGTATTCACGATATAGCAACTTTTTGATTTTCTATCGATCCATCGATTCATTTTCTCGATAAACGATTTTCATAACAAGGCAATGCTACAAATTGCAATTAAAAAATGATTACGACAATCGTATATTTTTTTCGAATTCAACCAAAGAAGAATGATTTTTTAGACTTTATCGTGACATTTTTCTTTTTAAATTTTTTCTTTTTCTGTTAAACATCAAATGGGCAACTGTCGCAATAAATATGATTGTTACCACAAGAGATCCACTTTGCGAATTTGTGAATGATTGAAAAATAGCCAAAACCACTGATTACTTTATGTATTATTGCGATATCATTATCTTCAATAGTCGACTTCTACTTCTCATATAGGTAATCAAAATAATTATGCCCACGCGTGTAAATTTTTTACACTTGCAATGAATCGAGATATTATTTAATAGCAATTACATGCATTACATGCTCATACTGCAGATACGAGCATTAAAATTTGAAATGGTTGCGAGAAGAGAATGGAAATAACGTGCCGCGGCACGTGGGAAATTCAGACTATACATTTTCGACGCAAAAAGAAAGAGAAGCTCCATGCATCTGTAAGCGCTGCTGAAGAAGTAAAGACACCTAAGATTTCCCATGTGTCGCCAATTTGTTAAACCTTCGTCGACGACTTCGCATCCCACGTGGTTCGTCGTCACGGGTGCATCTAATTTTATCCGAGGATTAGTCGTCCGATATACATACGTATTCCGAAATATCGCGAAATAAGCTCGGGGACTGCAGTTCGTATTACTTCTAATGAGATTTTAGCCCAGTAATTATTTACGTTGACTTAGGTATAACTTTTAATACAGCTTGCTGCACCGCGGCACGATTAGCGTAATTAAATTATCGTCATTCATCATCGATCCCGAAATTCATATAGGATAGCAGAAGCGTAAAATAACGAAAGTGAATATTTTACATTTCAATTCGCATGTGGATGCAATTTCGATTTAAGCTGCAGCTACAGACAAAATGTCGCGAAGCAATTATTTCAGTATTAATTTTATGCGGCTTTTATAAAAGAGCTATTATCATCAGTATCATCTGCTTTTTGCATGAATCAGGATCGAAAATTTGACAAAAAGGGGATTATAACTGTACATTTTACATCGGCACTTGCAAATAGCTGAAATTACATTTCGAGATAGAATGATAAATTACAATCGCGCGCGGCGCAACTTTTTTATATCAATTTTATAGAATTTCGGTAAATTTCGGTGTAATATCTCTCTAATATTATACATGTATACGTATACGTATGCATTTCCTGGAATGTATGCGATTTCTGTAAATAAATCTCGAAGGTAAACAAAGCTTAAAATTATAAACCAACGCCGAGCATCGGATGAAAAGTTTCCTGTAAATGAACATTTCCCGGAGACACGCATACTGATACACGCCGGCAGTGTCGCTTACGTGTATTAACGGCAAACAAGCCGAGGTTGAGTTGCTCTTGATCTCTGTATGCGTATTCCGTCCGCGTACACGAGCCCCAACGTCGATGTGTGTGCACGCGCTTGCACCCGTGCATAATGCGGGCAGCCGGCGAGCCTTCAAGTGCCAGCAATGAGATTCCCACGCTTGGTTAAAATATATACATATGTGCCAAGTTGTGTGTGTGTGTGTGTGTGTGTGTGTGTGTGTGTTGTCTTGTTGTGTGTGTATCGTCCACTACCGCGATACGTACCGTA